GGCTTGGAGAGGGTGCGGAGAGCCGATTCAGAGATACTTGGAGGGCTACTCACCTTTGTATTTGGCGGGGTTGTGGCGTGAGAGAAATATGAGAACCTTTGCTGGAGAGGATATTCCTATTTGGTCTCTCAAATATAGCATTATAAGTTCTTTATTCTGTTGGGTTAATGGGCAAAATTGAAGATCAATGGGGGATTTTGGGATTTTGTGGATAGTCTGAGATCGTAGCTTGGCCCTAGTTGGTTTTGTTTGCTTGTTTCTGGAAGCGCCCCCCTCTGAGCATCTTTAATGAAACTTTATTATAAAAAATAAAAATAAAAAAAGAGTGTGTTTGATAATGCAGTTTGAATATCAATTAAAAAAAAATAAGAGCCACTGAGAATGAGTTAAAATTTTAAGTGACAGTGACTTCACTTGTCATTGAATATTGAACACTTATGATTCAAATAATATAAAAGATATTCTCAATTTACAAATACCACTTAAAACTTCAGCACTTAAAATTCAGCTTTTAAAATTTTCAATACTCAATTTTCAGGTTTATCAAACAGCACCTTCATCTTGGTTCCCACTTTGGTGAATGGCTCTGCTCATGGTTCTTTTCAACCTCAGAGAGGTCTTAGGTAGAGATGCCCTCATTTCCCTCGTTCACTCTAGTAACAGAATATTTATCAAATATGATTGTGAGAGAAGGTTGTCAGAAGGAAAAGGATTTTTTAAAATTTGCTGCAGAGTAGAAAGGCTCATTTCCTATTAGATATCTGGGAAATCCTTTGAATGGCTATGGCCTAGCTTAAAGAAGGAATCCAGCTCCTGTTTAATTGGCGTAAGGATTGCTAACTGGAGTGCTAATATGCTTTCTCTAGCCGGCAAAGTAGAGCTTCTCAAAACAGTTTTAACTCCTCTTTTTATTTGGGTGGGTTGTCCTCGAGCTTCTTACGTCAACAAGTCTACCATTCAAAGGAAATCGATGAACTTTATTTGACATAATACTGAGAACAGTAGGAAGCTGCATTATCTGAATTGGACAGGGTCACTAGAAGAAAGGCAAAGATGGTTTTGGTATCAGAAGAATTTCAAACATTGAAGTTGCTACAAGTTGTTCTTTGATTTGGAATTACCTGTAGGGGAAGGCTAGACTATGGGTGGTTTGGTTCAAGAACATGTATTCAGCTCAGTTCTTATTGGAACTACAATACTACTGTTTCTCACTCCATTATTTGGAAACAAATGTTGCCAGTTAGAGATATAATATGTGCAAATATTTCTTGTCAGATAGGTGAAAGTCAGTACATTAGTTTGTTTGGTGATCCTTGCTGTGGTCGTTTGACTCTGTCAGACATTGATGCTTCATTATGACAGAAGTTCAACTCTGCAGAATCTATTTATGCATGGGGCTTGGAATCTTAATGTATTGATTGGATCATGAGGAGTTGGTACCTGTTAAACAATTTCTGACTTCTATTTGTAAGATTTTTGGATGTCAATACAAGATGCTGTGGGATGGTGGAAATTTCTCTTTTAAAAGGCTTGGAACAGATGTAGGAGCCACTATGATCATGCGTACTAGAAAGACCTTTGTTGGAATAAAGGTATGCCAAGAACTGCTCACACTTACTGTCCTATTAAGCAGCCTTCCTTTATCAATCTGCAGAAAAGGGGGTTTTCAAATACCCTCTGTTTGTTTCAACTGTTTCAACCAAATGGATACTAGAGATGACCTATTCTGTAATGTCAATTTTTTAGAGCTATTTCGGATTGGTTTTATGACCTTCTTGGATGGGGAATGGCTGACCATAAATCTTTTGTTACTATCATTGATTACTTTTTCTCAGGATTTTAAGCACAAAAACTTGAAAGCAAAGCTTGGGAAAATGATTTTACTGCTGCTCTATGGGGTACATGGCAGGAGAGGAAGAGTAGAATTCATCAAGGGAGCAGCAGGTTACCTTCAGATGTTGCTAAGGCATATGGTTTGACACTTTGGATGCAGCTGGCATATCTATCAAGGAAGCTCTCAATTGGTATTGGTTTTTGTTGGGATTTATACCCCTTCATTCAGCACAGCGGAAGCAAGACAAACAAGCACACACAACACTCAATATTTTACGTTGTTTGGCCGAACTCGATCTACGTCCACGACTCCACGGAGAGAAGAAATTTCACTTTAATGAATTAAGAAGAGAATATAGAACTGTAGAGAATGCCCACTCACTGACTGCCTCATGAGAAATTACACTAGCAAAGACTTGGAATAAGTACAAACTCTCTGCTCAAGCTATGGTGTTGAATGCTTGAGCCTTTCACGGTGTACCACTCCTCACCATCGGTGTTCTACCCACTCACTCATCATCTCTACCCCCAAAAACTAACCAATTTCTATGAAGTTGCATCTCTCTACCCTTGGTGCCTCTTTGCACCCACCCACTCTCTTCTCTGCTCATTCACTCCTCCATTCTCTTTTTTCTTTGCCTTCTCCACACAATTCCCTTTCTATTTATAGAGAGTTCCTAATCCTAGCTTGCTGAACAAGTAACACAAATCCTTGTTGAGCAAGGAAAGCAACTACTTGGGGTTCAAGTAGAATTACTTTGGGCACAAGTCTAACAACACATCCCCAAACTAATACAACCAAAACCCAACCCAACAAGAATTTTTAAGACATGCATAACAGTTTTAATTCCTTTTTCAAACATTTGTTTTCATTGATTGACCTCTTCTGTGTGCAGTGAGGCTATGCCCTCATTTTTTACTTATGCTTTTCTTTGTGCAGTGGGGTATGCCCTCCGATTTTGCTTATGTACATTATTTGATGATTTGTATAATTAAATTTCCAAGCAATTACAAAAAATAAATAATTAATGATTTTGGAAAATCTGATACAACCATAATCTTTTCTCAGTTAATATTCATAATAGAATTTTCCTAAGGTAAAGACGGGACAAAAGCTTATGATACTAAAGATAGGCCAAGACAAACTCCTTCATGAGGCCTGCAGTGGGCCCACCATGTCAAGGATCTGACATGCAACGGGTATAATTCTTCTCACATATTTCATCAGCGAAAAAAAAAAAGGAAAGAAAAAGAATCTAATGTTACCAAAAGAGGAGGATTGGACAAGTGGACAATTGGGACAGTTTGTATTTCTCAGATCTTATTATTTAATGGAATACTGTTTGATTCCATATACAGGTCAGCATTCTTCTGCTTTGCAGCACTTTTCTCAAATATCCTAGATCTATAATTACTCTTAAATAAAGGGACCTAGTCAGCAACACTGTTAAACATTTGTCAGAATTTAATACTTTATTTATATCAACAGCATAAAAAATAAAGAGAGAGAGAGAGAGAGATAATGCTTAAAAAAAGAAACTTCTACTGAACAATTTTTATGAACATGAACGCTGTGAGGGGAAAACCAATAAGTTTCTCTAAAGATGCTGCATATCTGAAATCAAATACCAAGTCAAAAGTTCTATTGACGTATTATGAAATAGAGCTAATTTTTCTACAATTCTAATGATGCTCATTGACATCTCTAACAAATAAATCCACAATAAACCCAAGTGTTCCAGTATTTCATCTGTCTATATTGATTTTTGCACTTGCCTCCAGCAAATTTTTCTACAATTCTAATGATGGTCATTCACATGTCAACAAATAAATCCACGTTAAAGACCATGTGTTCCAGCATTGCATCTGTCTACATTGATTTTTGAACTTGCCTAACAAAACTATTTTAACATGGCATAATGTAATGTCTAAGCATCTGACTGACAAAATGCCCAATGCGTCAAAGCTCTCTTCAAGATTTTTCTTACAGCTATATCTTTTCTTTAGTAAGTAACCACATTTTTGCTTATCGACAGACTTCATCGATTAATGCTGAAGAAATATATAAAACATTTAGTGATAATGTCTTGGTTAGATTTAGGGAATGCATCGAGCCGTTGGACTTCCTGGATATGGAATGATTCTGGTGTTACATTATAGCACTCTCCATAATCTAGACTGGACCATCAGAGAATGGGTGCTATACCCCCACATGCGATGAGTAGGATCAGTTTTCATATTAACTGATGCAACTCATTTTTCACGTTCATTTGTAACCATTGTTCCCATTTTCTGACGAATTCAAGATTACAGATTAATGAAACAATATCTATAATACAGTGAAGCTATTCAATTTCCACTGGCATCCAGCCTGTCTACAATGATTGAACCATTACTAAAAATTTTGGTGAGTGCCATGATTTAATTAGACAATTCAATTAACATCTCACAGTATCTTTTAGATTTTGGCTCCAGATGAAGTCTGAATCATTTTTAGTAGAATACTGGGGCTGGTTTTTCAAATGGATATAAAGTGTGTCTTCAGGGTTGTTGCTAATTTTGTAAAAAACAAAAAGTAAAAACAACAAAATTGAAGGTAGGAGCTCCCCAGGAGAAAATATAAGTTCACGGTGAGAGCTTATAGAAACAATGCAGCATAGACAAGCTTATTGATCCTATGCCGCAGAAACAATGCAGCTCTCATGTTTCTCTCACAGTGGTTGAGAGCACCCTCATGATAGCAATACCATTCCCACCATCACCATTTTCCCAGCTACACACACACACACACACAGAGAACCCTTCTATCAAAAGAAAAAGAAACTGAGAAAAGCAAAGACACTAAATTCTTGAAACATAATGTTTAAAGTAATACAAAAAATTCAGTATGATTACATTTTGAAAATATAAAATCAGTATGACATAACATTTGGAGGTGTTTTTTTGGAAAAATAAAACATAAAATCACTAACAACCAGACACTCATAAAGATATTCAAGAAATAAAATTTGATTAGGACCATGATACCAGATACAATAAGCACTCAAAATATGATAGCAGTATCTTAGTAAATTATTACATCAGGAGCAAAGGCAAAGTTGTTGCTTTATATTTTGAAAGAAACAAAATGGATATAAATGTTGCGACTTTGGATAATGAAAAGTTACCTGTTTTTTCAGCATCTGAGCTGCATTTATTTCATAAGTCATCTGCGAATCAGCACGTGAACGCATAGCAGCTATCTCTTCAGGTGTTGCGTTAGCCATCTTCTCACCAATCTCGGCCATCTCTTCTGGACGGGTGTACTTAAAGTGTTCTGCAGCATTCCTCAAATCCTCAGGCCTCATGTTCTTCATGCCTTCTGAGGCCATTCTCATCAATTCAGGATTAGACATCATCTGCAACGTCAATGAAAACAATAAAAACACAATCTGAATCTATTGATGGATAGAAGCAATCAAAACTCATTAATGCTATATAATTAAATTTCCAAGCATGTGCCTGTTAAAATTAGGGGTGACAAAGATTGACATGACCCATTAACACGACTCGAACCCAACACTAAGTCCATGAGTTTAGTTGGCCTTAATCATGTTGTCATTAACGTTTCAACCCAATTAACCCATTCAATTAATTATGTCATGTTTGTTTGGGAGATTAATTTGTTTAACCCGATCTGACCGTTTAATTAATTATGTCAACTGCACAACCTGAGAAGGAGGAGAGGGACCATTGCCAACTAGTGTTGCATGTGCAAGTGGGATGAAGATTGGTATATCGTCTTCTGTTTTTTTGTTTTTTTTTTTTTTTTTTGGTGAGGAGACCATCTTCTGTTGCATTGCCCAGAGGCCCGGGGCAATTGGGGCATGCTTTTGGGGTTGTTCATGGTCCAGTGGATTATGCCTCAGTCCTCGAGAGGCATGATAGAGGTTGTGTAGTGGGTTCCCAATCCCGTGAATTTTGGAAGGTGGCGCCCTTGTGTGTTTGTGATGCTTGTGAAAGGAGCGGAATAGGAGATTCTTTGTAGGTGAGATGTCTCCTATTGGGGTGATAAAATTCTGTATTTCTAATTCTCTTTTGGTTGGGTGCTTGGAAGAAATTGTAAATCCATGGAGTGAGGTAATTGATTGTTTTGGACATCCTGAGAGATTAGAGGCCATATTTGGCCCTTGTGTAGTTTTTGCAGGTTGCCCCATTTGAGCACTTTCTAATACAATCTTATTTATAATAAAAAAATTATCATGTCAAGTCAAACCGAATCAACTTGTAACCTGTTTCAACCTATATAGTAAGTAATATATTAAAAATAGTAGGGAAAATTTAGACATCTCATAATCTTTTATTCAAATTTTTTATAATTAAGAAAAAATTGAAAATAAATATTGTTAAATGGACCATGTCCTGTTAGCTGTTTAATTAACAAGTTGTGTTCATGTCAAGGGTGTTTGACCCATTTAATAAATAGGATGTGTTCAGTTGACCTATCTATCAGAAAAACCTTATTTGGACACGACAAAAATATGATCAGTGAGCACATATTGCCACCCCATCTAGAGTCTAGTTAAACAAATTTTAGTGCTTGCAAAAATGGAACAATTGCAACTATCTCAGATACAGTTCTCTCAATAAATAAAATAAAATAACCAAGCTGTTAAATTGTATGCATTACAGAGACCTAATACAATGTGTAACCAAATTCAATCAAACTGAATTGATAAAATAAAAGTAGCATCTTTTTCTCATTAGGCACAGTTAAAGTTTCCAATATGCCTGACTTATCAAAAAAAAAAAAAAAAAAAAGTTTCCAATATGTCTGCTCACTAGTCTAAATGTTTTCAATATTTGGAAATAAAATAAAATCATTAAAGATGAGCATGTTCCAGTGATACCCATTTTCTTAGTTTCATATCTTCAATATACTGAAATTGGACAAGGAAATTGTGTCTATTTTGCTATGGAACAGTATAAGGTATGTCAATTCAACTAATACCTGCTTCTCTAATTTCAACAAAAAAATAAAAAAAACAAAAAAGAAGAAGAAGCATTGCAATGATGGCGCTGAAATCTAACACCTCATATCATCGAGGAGGACACCATCAAGTTTAAAGCAAAATCAGGGGCATTTGTTGATCTTTCTTCATACACTATTTCACAAAAATGTCCATAACTTTCTCATGTGACATGGTGCTGACGCTTTCTTTGTGCAATCAAAACAATATTATTCTCTCATTAGCTACACAACCTAAACTGAAGGGGTGTTGTTCTACGGTTCCATTCAAAGTAGGGAAGGACCTCTTGACCTCATTTAAAGTAAAAGGTCAGGACTTTCTTAAATATGATCACTTAATGTTATTTGATCTAAAGGATCCCAAAAGTTGGTTCCAGAAACTTTCCAATGCAAATTGAAATAAATTAGACTGGTAACCTTTGTCGGTGCAAATTGTTGAGTCAAATTCCAACTTATGATATACAGTAACTGACAACTAGGATCAGGAAGGGCAAACCTAATTAGGCACTGAGGACCTTTTCTCTACTAAAAAAGTTTAGTAGAGAGAATAATTCAAGTACAGAGTAGAAGAGTTCTCTGCTCAATAATTCTGTGTGTTCACTGTCCTTATGCTCTATATTCTATAGAATTCGAGTTTTATCTATCAAGACAAAACTCCAGGACTCTATTACAGCAGATTAGAGGGATAAATTTTTCTTCTCCTATTGCAGATCACTACTAATTAAACATCCCACAAAATAAAATTTATAATATATTTTATTGTGTTTCCCCCTTCAACTGGACAATTTCTAATCTAACATCAGCAATACCAAAAAAAGAAACCAGAAAACATATATTAACTCCAGCTTATAAGCTAAAAATATCAAATCAATAAATTCCTGGAATCATCAAACTGAGTGCTAACTAGCATAAAACTTCATCAAAATTGTAATAGTTAGAGTTAGAACTTGGGCAAACATGTGTCAAGCATGAATGTAAGCTGGAACCTAATTATACAAATCTGAGTACTCGCAAAAAACAAATAATAGACAATTTTTATATGACAGTTTTCTTAATAGCTTGATTATAAATTACAAGGCCCACTTGGTTAGGTTAAATCCTTATAGAGGTCTGATAACAGCAAGCAAATAAAATCAACCAAACTAGAGGTAGCTAAAAAAAGGTATGCCAAACTCATTGGCTTTGAAAATTTTCAATCATCTAAATTTTTTTTTGATATGCCTGGTCCCTTGGCATCACAACAAATGTGCCTATTCAAGAATATATGATTACAACTGTTATTTAAATAATACACGATTCCTTATATTTGACACTCTTCAATGTTCTGAAATTGGATATTAAGTCAACCAATTAAGTAGAAATCTAATCTTAGACAATTTAAATCCAAAACAAAAACCGACCCAAATACAAAATCACTAAGCTTCCATAGATAATTCAAAATATAAGAACGAACATACCAAATTACAAGCAAAGCAAAAAAGGGAAAAGAGAAAATCAATAAGGAAATCCTTCTTAATGCTTTTGAAAAGAAAAGGAAACTAAAAACAGAAGCTTTACTGTGCATCTGCTTTCAATTTGAAGCAATTCAAAATCTAGCGTAGATTAGAACTAAATAGGGTACCGAAAATACTAAATTCGCACAAAATTGTAAGCGAAAAGCATCAAATCAAAATAGAACTTGGGAGCATTATAATAATTACGTCGAACAGACATGGGCTGCCTCAAAATCTTAAAATTTCATGTAAAATCACTGAATCCAAAACACATTGAGATCAAAGGGGCAAGACCTGTTGTTGAATTCTGGAGAAGTCGGCGGATGACATACGACTCATCTGTTCTTGAGCGAGTTTGATTAACTCAGGATCCATCATGCCGTTGAACATTCTCGAACACCAACAAAGAAAATCGAAATCGAAACCGAAACTGAACAAATGTTACGATCGTCAACAAAAATTGCTTCGATCCTCGATTGAGACTAACAATACCAAGTTCAATTTTAAGAAATCGAAGTGGAGACAATTTGCAGAATCTGAGAGGTGTTAGATTTTGAATTTGTGATAATGAAAAATTGAGTTAGAGCATTAACAAAAACATATATACATATATAATTATATATATATATAGAGAGAGAGAGAGAGAGAGAGAGAGTAAAAATCCAATTTTTTAGTCTTTATTGGTTGGACGCCCACCAGACCAGAAAGACGAGTTGGAAAAGAAGACCCCGGAAGGAGAGTCGAAGATGCGTGTTAGCTTCCTTGAAATTACTCTCATGCCCCTCCTCGTGGATTTAAACTTGTGTGTTTCCGTTGGGTTTGGGGTTGCTCTTGGAATAAAAACAACCTGACACATTATAATAGGTAGTAGGGCAAATTTCTCAAAACCCTCCAAAATTATTAAAAAATTATCATAAAACCTTAACCAGTTTTAAAAACTCTCAATAATATAGCAACGTTCTCAATAATATAGCAACGTTATCATGTTACCCCAACTCTGGCAATTGGACGTTAAAGATATATGAAATGACTAAATTACTCTTATAATATTTCAATTTATTTAAAAAAACAAAAAATTATATTTTACAAATTACAAAATTATCCTCTACTTTTTAGTTTCCATTGGCTGCTATCATCTTCCTTCTCTTCCCCCCTCCATCGCCTCCTCTGCCCCCACCCTCAATCCTCCCCTCTCTCTCTCTCTCTCTAAAATAACACACACAAACATACTATCTCTCTATATATAACACTATATGTATCTGACTTGGCTCAAGTCTCGTCCTTTGAGAGTCCTCCCATTCCTAGTGCAAACTGAGAACTCCATTTTCCCGGCAATTCAGCGGCCGACGATCATGTGAGGGGGCACCATCTCTACGTCGTTGTCGAAGGAATTAGATTCCACGCACTGAACCACAAATCTCTGGGAACATTTTGCCTGATATTAACCGGAAGTGAACTATTCTTCTTCTTCTTGGTATTGGGTTTATTGGGTGAATTTGAATGAGCTGGGAAGTGGTAGTCATCATGGTTGGCTACAGTATTTTCCGGGAAAATGACCTCGGATTCTTGGAATTCTTCTCCCATGGAATAATATTTAAGTTTGGAAAGTGGGTTTTGGAAATTAAGGAATTGGGAAAGAAGAGGGAAGTGTTGAGGTATTTATAGAGAGAGAAAGAGGTGGGTTTGGGTTGGAAAAAAAATGGGGCCTGTTACTGCTCAATTTCAGTCCCATCTCCGTCGCCGGAATCACGCCACAAGCATCGCTATTCATCCATCCTTGATCGCCGGTTCCATCTTGTCGGTTTGTCACCAGAATTCTTGCTCGCTGGCTCGCGGTTTTAAGTCTAGTCATTGCCAAATCCTTTCTCAGACGCCGGTAAATAATCATTGGAGTTCACCGTCGACACCGCTGCAATGCACCGCTGCCGTTTCACCATAGTTTTATTCAGTTTGATAAATTAATAATAATAATAAACCGGCCACTGAAGGCGCCAGATTGTGAGGGACCTTTGTGGGGTTGGAATGATGAAGGAATTGACACAGACAGCACATCGTTCTCATGTTCGAAACTGTGTTCACTAATGGAGTTGCCTTTAACAGTGCCAAGACGGTTAACAATTCCTTTAGTTGAGGAGGAATCTTGGTCAAAGACGTATGTTGTAGGCAGTGCTTCATTGGCTCCCATTCTTCTGGCGTTTCAATGGAATACTTAAGATAGCGTGAGTTCTCAAAGCAAAATAATAGCATATATTCTTGGTGTTTCAATTGGTTGTACGCTTGGTGTTTTTGCATACCGGAATACTAGATTAGAGCATCCACCTCAGAAGTTTTTGCTTCCTTACCATGTCTGGATGCTATGCAGGTCCAATGTTCTACGCACTTGTTTGACAAGCTCGGGGATATTTTCGGTATAACACATTTAAATACACATTACTTCTTTAGCACATGTGATAGCAGGGGTATTTTCGTCACAAAATCAATTTGTTAAAGCATTTGTTAACCACGCGCTGGGTTAACGGGACCAAGTGCCAGAGTTGGGGTAAGATGATAACATTGCTATATTATTGGGGGTTTTTTAAATTGGTTGGGGCTTTATGATCACTTTTTAATAGTTTTGGGGGTTTTGAGAAATTTGCCCTAAGTATTATTAATAATTAAATTATTTTTTAATTTATTTGATAATAATTTTTTTAAACACTTCTAATACTAATTTTATAATAATATATTTTAATTATATTTGATAATAGCAACTTTAGTAAGGAAGTGGTGTAATTATTTTTATTAAAAATAAAAAGAATAAAATTGTTTAATGAAAAAGAGTTACATAAAATATTTAATTTCTACTCATAACCTAAGTCACACAGAACGGGAGGAGTGCGAGAGCGAGAGTGAAAACGAGGGCGTGAAAGTGTTAAAGTCTAAAAAAATTTAAAGCGGGAGTCTAAAGTTTTTTAAAGCAGAAGCATCTTGAGAGCGTCTCTATATTAGGTTTAAATAAAATTATATAAGGTCATGACATATATATTTTATATATATATTTTTTTATTTAAATCCATATACAAATATATTCATTATTATTTAATGATATATGTAATAAATAAGTTAATTTGTCTCATTACGTGGTTTATTTGTAATATTCTCTAATTGGGAAGTTTTTTAGTGGTATATTTTCAAACATGTATAATTAATATGTGTGTGTGTGTGTGTGTTGGGGGGGGGGGGGGGGGGGGTAGTATAGCAATGCTAAGTAATAGTGTAAGTAATAAATGCATATATGGTAATATAGGTATTCCATATCACGGGACTTTAACAAATTTATCTGTATAAAGTGAATTCGTATGGAAATCGCGAATTAGGAAAACAAATTCGCGAATTGCAAAAATTGAATTCACGGATTTTGTGTGAATTCGCTCCCAAATCGCAAATTCGCTTGTGGAGCTCAAGAGCGGGGCCCTCATAACACAATTTTAAAAGTTTCAAATTCTAGCTTCATTCAAACGATATACTAAACTAAATTTGGTAATTATTAAAAGTGATTCTAGTGATTGTTGGAAACAAAGCATACAAAACATAAACTTTGGTCAAAATTTTGAGTAGGTTCCGTTAAGAATTTCTTGTGAATATATAGTTGAACGTGTTACTCTCCGTAAGGAGATGAACGTGGTATATTTACTTTCTCAAATCCATTTTCCAGGTTAATGGAAATTAGCTCCAAAGTAAGGTGTTTTATAAGCTTAAATGGGTATGCAAAATATGGAAAGAGGTTGTCCCACATTAAAAAAAAAAAAAGTGAAACCAATTGGAGTTTATATAGGCCAAGTTTGGAATTTGGATTTGGGCCTAAGGGCACCTAAGTTTTTAAGGGGGGAGCACCTAGGCAAGCTTGGGTCTAAACCATTTACCACTCGCTCGTTTGACCCAAGCTTGGGCTGTAAAATCCAATTAAATTTTTATTAAATGGATTTTTTGAATTGGGCCTTGTGTTTGGTTTAATTTTATTTTAGGTTGGGCTTACTCTGATGGGTTATTAGGCTAGGCCTATGAATGATTGCACCTGGTGTGAACTAGTGCACCCCATTTGAGAAGGTGCCTTTGGTGTTGGTTCAGGTTGAACCATTGTGTCCCTTGGCTTTTCGGGTCCTCTAAAAAGGCACCTGCATGCCTATAAATTCTCCCCCTTGGGTCATTTGCAAATACACCAAACTCAAAAATCTTCTTCTCTAATTCTGAGTTTTCCTTTCTTCTTTTCTTCTCCCATATATGCATACACATAGTGTTAGTGTGTTAGTTCGAGTCTAGTCTACAGAAAGAGTACTTCACCGAACCGATTTGCCCATTTCTCTGGTTTGCAGTGCTATTACCGAAGAAAGAAAAGTTGTTGTATACTGGAAGACAAACGCTACATAATCCGTCAGCACCATAGCAGAGCGAATCTGTTTTAAAGAGTTAGAATCAAATTCTAGACTTAGCCTATTAATAGGTTCTTTTATACTTCGGTTTTATTAGAGTATTATATAATTATATATATATTATTGTTTATAATAATTATTTTATATATATATATATATATATGTATATATTATATTTTTTATAATGTTTAAATAGTAATATTATAGTATATGGTGTTATACACCAATTTTAACAACAATCTTAAGACAAATTTTGTTTTACTATAGTATTGTTATTTAAATATTATTGTTGGTATATTATATTTTGGTAAATTGAATTGTGGTCTATATATTTTATATATAACAGACGAATGGCAAATATGAGTACAATTGTGCCTAATATTCCCGTCAAACATGGGGAGAAGCTCGAAAAGTTTAATGGGGAGGAGTTCAAAAGGTGGTAACAAAAAATGATGTTCTACCTTACAACTTTGAATTTGAGCAAGTTCCGAATTGAGACAGCCCCAGTGCTACAAGAGGGTGAGACTGACATTACAAAAGTAAGAGTTATTGATGCATAGAAGCAAGGAGATTTCTTATGCAAGAACTACATCCTCAATGGATTGGACAACATGTTATATAATGTGTATAGTCCGATCAATACTACTAAAGAGCTACACTTGCCTTACACGAAAATCAAGCCTATCTCGAAGTCTTGTAGGAAACTTTGACTTATCGATCACTCTCCACCATTCTCTCCGCTATAACTCATGGGAGTCGCTAGACAAGAAGTATAAGATAGAGGATACTGGTTTGAAGAAATTCATGATTTCTAGTCTTTAAAATGGTGGACTCCAAGACTTTTATGAGCCAGGTGTATGAGTTCCAGCTGATCCTGCATGAGATACATGCTGAAAAGATGGCTTTAAGTGAATTTTTTCAAGTGGCTTCAGTAATTGAAAAATTGTTGCCTACTTGGAAAGATTTCAAAAATTACTTGAATCATAAGCGCAAAGAAATGTTGTTCGAAGACCTAATAGTCAGGCTGAGGATAGAAGAAGATAACCGCATATCTGAAAAGAAATCCGAGAATTCTTTAATGGTGTCAGAGGAAAATGTAGTGGAAGTTGAGAAGAAAAATAAGAAGAGGAAGCACTCTAGACAAGGTCCTAGCCATAAAAACTACAAGAGGTTCAACGAGAAGTGCTACATATGCGGCAAACAAGGACACCGAGCTAAAGACTATCATAGCGTAAAGCACGAGATAACTCCAATAAGAAGACCACTGAGGTGCACATCACTGAGAAAGATA